GCGTTTGTGAATTTATCCAGCCAATGGTCCAATGCTGTGGTTAGTTTTCATTTCATCGCTATCCTTCGTCTCAGTGAAAGGTGATTTAAGGGAACCATTGACCTTAGCAAAGTCGTTTATCAGGGTAAGGATTACCGAATGTTCAATCACGACTTTGTGGATCAGGCCGCCATCAACCCGGTTGAGTTGTTTTTATTCTTCTGGGCCGTATAATTTTATAGAAATCTGCAAGCTTCCTCCACAGTCTGTTTTTCTCCGAGATTCTCATCGCAAGCCTTTTAGTAGCTGGCAAATTTAACTCATAAAAGTTATTGGCATCCTGATTGCTAGTGTGCACTTTGATCGGGTGCCAGCTATCCGGCCTCTATCAGCCTGGTTGCACATCTGCATGCCAGGAGCAAATTTGCATTGACTAGCTGTATGTAGTAGCTGGGCAAGCGCTATCGCAAGCATAAGAGATGCTTCTGTACAATTGGCCCAGTGGTGGCGGGCCGCTGTGTCTTGCTTTAAATTGAAACCGTAATGAGCGTACCCTTGTGATTCAGTTTCTCCAAATGGGTATAGGTGATGGCGGCCGGGGTTGATTTATTTTAAGAGAACCTATTTGGATTGATTATATAGGCAGGAGGGTTTTGCTAATATTTACTCAGATGAACCCTCTTGGTGGGTTGATCTGTTGGGAAAATATTCACCTAGCTTCCGATCCCCGTTGTAATCCTAGAATAGATCGTAATCAGTTCAATTATGTGCTCCCTAATAGTTGCACATAGAAAGGAATGGATTGGCTCTGCACCACACTCGTTGAATCCAGCCTTCGGATGTAAATTAAAATAGCTAATGAGGTTCCAGACTGACCTGGCCACCTTGTCCGGAATCCTTTGCCGTAGTAGTCAATAGTTATTTAACGTCCTACCGTGGATATGGTACATTCCCAGACATCTACTACGCGAGTTTGGTCACTTAACTTAGCTATTAACTGAAGGCTTGACTACAGGCTCTGGGAGATTGCTCGGCTAGGTTATAGTAAGGTTATCGTGACAAATGACGCCTCAAGTGGCCGGACATATTGGCTGTTACCGAATGAAATATCTGAACTGAGGAGACAAGAAGCGGGTTGATTATGGCACCGGGGGCTCTAATAGGACATGGGTGAAGTAGCTTGAATGGAGCGGCCAAGTTGGAGGGGTGTGTAAACCGGCGCGGATTCCCAATCGACCTCATTCACATCTCTAAGGCAATCCTCCCTCTGTTTCAGGTTAGGAAATTTTAGGAATCCATGTCTTATCAAATGAAGGGGAAGGGACGCCAAGATCATTATATCAAGGGGTTCTTCGAAACTCAGTTTTTATTTATATGATCTTGAATAAGAGCTGATGATGGTATTGAGGGCTACTAGTTAAGAAAATAAATAACATATCCGACTCCACAATAACTAGCATTTCGGATGGATCTAGCTTACCTTGAAATTCACGTCTGCCCTATAATCGACTGACAGTCTTGACAGTACGAGGTAGTCTCAACACCTCTAAAGTAAATATTACACTAACTCTGATCGATTCCTACCTTAGGTGATGATGGGTTCTAGACGGGCCTCTTGCAGCGGTTCGTCCACTTTTGATGACTATGATAATTGACAGAATTCGCTTTAAATCCGTTACTCCAACCATCCCATGAGACAAAAAGATATGAAGAAAAACTGGGTTTTCAAGAATTCCTTAGTGGAGTATTATATCAGGACTTTCTATTTCGAAGGAAAAGTTGGCTGGAAGGAATTCGCGATGTGGCCTCACCGGAAACAGAAGGAGGTTTCCCGGGTAGGAAAGACAGTTATATTGTTCATAGGAGTCTTCGGCTTACTGTCCTGCGACTCCAATAAACCTGTGCTATGCCTTCATCTGTACTATGACAAATATTATCAGAGCAAGAATCAATGCTTTAGAAAATAGATTAAAAATGCACTAAACCAAGAGAAAATGTGGCCATCTGCAACCATAATTGATTATCTAATCATCTAACCTTGCGATCTTAATGATTTGGTTGGCTATTTCAAACGAACTCGACGTATTTTCAAATGAATGAAATTATTTTCATGAACCGAAAGGGCGTTCGATGGCAGCTGTTTGCTCATACAAATAAACTAGTGTACGATCGTCTGATGTTGATTCGTGTTTGGGCTTATGCTATTGTCTATTGTGTCTATGTAATTTTCATGTCAGGGGAAGTTTGATTGTCTTAGTTAGACTAGAAGCTAATCTAGCCTCCTCTTGTTCAGTTGCTCTTCCTGCAATTCCTCTCTTTCTCTTATTAAGCCTATCCAACAGCCATGAATAGTTCATACTTAGCTTTCTGCGCTCGTTTCTTCTATTCAGGGCGTTAGCTATTTTGTTAATTTTTATAAACTCCCTAATCTAACGCTTTGATGTGAAGTCACCGTAACCAGCAAAACGGGATTTGGACCAGTCTATTGAGTATTCTGTGTTAGCCATCTATTCAGCAAGCTCAGATTTTCGGACCCATTGACCTTTACAAGCGGTTTTGTGTTCGCATAATCTCTTAGGGATGAGTCAGCTGGTGTCCCCCACACAGACATTACTACAATGGCATAAAACCTTGTAACAGTCTGATCTAGAAATAGGGTATCAATATTCTATAAATGAAGAAACTACTGAAGGAAGTGTTAATTTCTCTTTATACATTGTTTTTATGTTCCACTTCCTCAGTAGGCCACCAAACTTTTTTGCAAGATGGCAAGATCGGGAACCGAGTAGAATGATCCAACTGTCTATCCTGCCTAAGATATCAATTTATTCTCATATTGTTACTGACAATTGAAATAAAATTATATGCTAAACCTAGTGGGCGATTAAAACGTAGATATTAATACCAAGATGTTGTGGCCTCTATTTTTGTCACAGTATCCTTCCAATGTATATGAGTAGTCGTCAGAGCAAGGTATCATCGTCACAACAAAAATCCAGCTAACGAGCACCGTCGACCTTCGAATCTCTTCACCCAACACTTTCACTCGAAATGGAAGTAAGCTCAACAATTATGAAACAAGAGATTAATTGAAACCCAACTTCTGACTTGTTCATATTCATCTTAAAAAGGCGAGTTTACAGTGGCGTCACCACACATGCTGTTTGCCTTGTCCCCCCCTCCCTTACTATTTGCTGAGCCAACTGGAGCCTCCTATCCAGATCTCAATCATTGATCCGTAGATCCGTTTTTAATCTTTCTAATTGCCCGATTTCAGCCTGTTCTAACCCCAGTGTACGTTTTACTCCAGGCGCTATTTCTCAAGCCTTCAGTAACAGGTAAAATACCGCCTAACCTGCAGAGTGCCTACGCTCTTATTCTCATGCTTGCCGATGTTAGGCATTGCCTTCACGCATCATCTCATTGATTAAACTCGTAAACCCTGAACCAACTATGCATGTCTATCTCTGGTCCCATGCTACCTTACGAGTGGATTTCTACTCAATCTGACCATAAGGCCTAATTTTAGAGGCGCTTGGTAATATCCATCTCCATATTCACGTAACAGCCAGACCCCCAAAATTGTAATTGTTTCGCTGAGCAGACTTCCGCTAACTGAGAACGCCCCCAGCTGATTCCCG